GCAAAAATCGGGGTAGAGGACGTCGGGATGACCGGGATGACTACCCCCGAGATGACGTAGTGGACGCAAACAGAAGGATGAAGGCAAGGACTGGCATAACCACGGTCTTCAAGATTCTGATCTATCGCATACTTAGTGAAATCTGAGACGAGGAGTATGTCCGGTTTCCTGCTAAGTTGGGCGATGGACAAAAGGGCTACAATCCGCGGTATCGTTGCACATTTCACCGAGAGCGAGGCCACCGAACAGAGGACTGTTTGCCTTTGAGGCAACACTTGGAGGAGCTAGTCGCAGCCGGACACCTGGATCTTTACATTGATGGGGGCGTTAAGGCAAATTAGGTTCCGGTTGATCCGCGGGGACCGGATGACCGAGATGCACCTCTTCAAGGAGTTGTAAATGTCATCCACGGCATAGTGGAACCGGCGCGTGTTTGCGAGCTCCGTGGTATGATCAAGAAGGCAGAGCACATGCGGGAAGTTTTGTCAGTTCAGCCTGCGCTCAAGAGGGGGAAGACGGAAGCGAAAGATGTGATCAGTTTCTCCTCAAGGGACTTGGAGCGCATTCAGACACCGCACAATGACGCCTTAGTAGTTACACTCCGCGTCAAAGATTTTGAAGTCAAACGAATCTTGATCGATCAGGGAAGCTCGGTCGAGATCATGTACTACGACGCTTTCAAACAGCTCAAGCTCCGAGATACGGATTTGGCCCCGGCGACATCGCCATTGGTTGGTTTCAACTCTCACCCGGAGTGGCCTTTGGGAAAGATTATCCTGCCGGTCAAAGCGGGATCCGTGGTTAAACAGGTGGAGTTCTGGGTGTTACAGGTGCCATCCACTTACAATTTGATCCTTGAAAGGGGGTGGCTTCACGCTATACAAGCCGTGGCATCGACTTTTCACCAAGTAATGAGATTCCCCTCGGCTATAGGGGCAATCGAGGAGATTTGGGGCGATCAGGTCATGTCAAAGCTGTTAGAATTTACCATCACCTACCACCAATTTACCATCACCTACCACCACCTACTCCTCACCTACTCCTCACCTACTACACTCACCCTCTCCTATAT